TCACTACTGCTTCCCTTTAACAAAAATGAAAAAAAAGAGACATTCTACATTCACTAGTTATGTAGTCTGGTGTGCTATGGCAAAGTACCTGACACCATGCTTGGTGTAAGACCCTATATTAACAAAAAATATGTTCTTTATTGCATAATACTACAGGATAGCTAATTCTAAAGAATATCCACTGTGATTGCCTTTGCTTTGCCCTCAGTGGGAACTGAGCTCTAATCCAGCAAACTTCACTCTCTGAAAGTCCTGAGAATTAAACCTCCAAACTGTTAAAACATGAGGTTTTCTCCAAGTAAAAATATTCATGATATTAAACTGTATTAAATCTTGTAGCTAGATTTGTGATATAGACTAGAGCCTGTCATGATCACCATTCCTGAATGAGCATAAGAATGTTTGTTTTGCTATTCATATTTTAAAAAGGCAAACCTAAACTTGACAGGGCCGATCACTAAGGCAGACTTTTCCCCCAAGTATCACACTCTGTTCTCTTTAGTTACATATGCTGATTTTTAATAATGCAAGCGAGAATTGGAAGAGTACAAGCAACTCTTCAGTCTTATATTAAGTGTGCAATATTGATTATGGACATCTCTTGTGACAACTCTTGTCATAGAAGAAATATGGTAAATACTTCTTTCTATACTAAGATCTATGTAATTCATTCCCTGGGTTCCACCACTCTACCTGCTGCAGCTCAAATATGTATCCTCATGTCCAACATGCAATTAAGTATGTGTTTATGGACACCAGTATCACAGTTAAGTATAGAAATTACCTCAGCTGAAACAGTTTTTGAAACAAAGTATTTTAATTTTCTCTTAATTAGCATTATTCATTTGTGGAAAAGTACAGAACGAGGACATTCTATACAAACCATTGGCATTTTGATAATTTTTTTCATTAGCTCAAAAGAGCTGGCCTCTTAACAAACCAACCAAATCTGGGTATCTTTTTCATTCTAATTGGCCAGCATGACAGACTTGGACAGTGGCTCCAGCCAGACCTGGAAGAGGATGAGTTCAGAAAGAGTCACCATGAGCTTGTGTGCACATAGACCCAACTGTGAAGTGCCAGCAAGAAGGAGAGACTTTACAAGCATCATATACTGGTGCTTGTGAAAGACAACAGTTTTTAGAGATTCAGATAATGTATTTACATTATAATACATACTTCTTTAGAGCATCAGATGGAGAAACTCACAACCACTGACATTTTGCATATATATATATATATATATATATATGGCTTGTTTAAAATTTTTGTATGGTTCTAATACTTAGTTGGATTATCTGAACTGCAATATAGCTTACTTTAAAAAGAAAAAGGAAGAAAAGAAAAACAACAGGCAGAAAAGGCAATTTTTACAGAAATATTTATATAAATGAGTTCAGTAAATTCAGATGGAAACTGAGAGAAGGGAGAGTAAAAGCTGAATTATCTGTTATCTAATTTGCTTTGTGGGAGTATGGCAATCTTTGTCTGATGGTGAGAAACAATAAGGCAATGATTACTCGGGACTTAAAGTTTCCTCATGAAGTACTGTCCTTTCTCATCACTGCACTTGGGGAGAGACCTTCTAAGTAGAAAACATGCTGTACTTTTTCTTGTTTTGTCGTGCTCCAAGTTTTCCCAAGCAGCAACAATGGGAAAGAAGAAGGTTTCAAACTTGTTTCTGTGGGGCTCTTGAAAACTTCTAGAAAGCAAAACAATATTGGCAGTTTCACGTTTGCTGCTCTATTAAAAAGACTAGGCAACAAGACATTAGTGCTACTGATCCAAGCTATTAATAGAAAAGGAAACACCCAAAAATAGAGAGGTTTAAAGGACAAAATGAAATAGTGGTGAAGTCTTTTATTGCAACCAGTACAGTTACCATACAACAAAAATCACCAGAGCCCCTGTGCTGAAGGTTCTCTTCAGAAGGGAAATGAGCAAGAGACCAAAACTAATATCTTTATATATACATGCATATATACGTATATATATGTGTATATATATATGGAGAGAGAGATATAACAAATTTTGTATACAGAAAGCAATGCCTTGCTCCTAACATGAGCAAAATTAGCTTTTACTTTCTGCTAATTTTTCTCATTGGCTACAAATGCAGAGGAAAATGAGCTGTCAAAGGTTGTTTTCCATAGTACAAATGAGAGCACAAACAGTGAGGTATATGTATGTTAATAAGCAGAGAGCAATGATCAGTATGCCCTTGAGAGCAGAAGCATTCCTTGAGGTTTCTGATAATCTCATGGTATACAGTATGTTGCCTTAACTATGAGCACTTAAAATGCATTTATGAAAATAATTCTGCTTGTGCAGGGTCTCTCAAGCTAATGCAGCTCTACTCCTGCACCAGTATCTGAAACAACCCCCTTTTTTACCCATTTTGACATCTACGTCATTTATGTATGTACAATATGCAACAGCTTCTCTAATGAACTGCAGTATTCCACAATACTGTTTATTATGCAGTGCCTACAAAGACCAATTAGATCACCACACCCTAGCTTTGTAGAGATGGAAGAACATATTTACATTTAAAAAAAACAAAGAAACCTTTCTTCTTACCAACTTTTTCCTCAAAATAAAAGTATACTTTCTACTTAAATATGACCATTTTAAAACTGAATCCCAGGTACCAGTAAAACATAGTCTTCACACTTAAAGCTTTACACTTTTTTTTTGAAGTGTGGTTATCAGTGTGGAAAAGCTTCCCACACCCATCTCCTCAGGCCAGATAACTACTAGATCCTTTATTTTTGATTTGCATCTTCATTAACGTGGCTGATAATTCCAGGATGAATCTTGACAGCATTTGCTCCTTTAAGCAGTCTTTACCTAAAAAAGTACTGACAACCAACTAATCACCCTTGGGCCTACTGAGGAGAGTTAAATCTCCTTGATTTAAAACTCATAACCTATTCCCATCTGATGGTATATGGCACATGAAGGAATATGACATGTGATTTTAATAAAATGTGTATTTTTTTTTCCATTCTGTCTCCTTTTTCTCATTTAAATGATTACCCCTGCTTTTAACCTATCTAAATGCCATGACACAGGCCAAGTGTGATTCAGAAGTTTTCACTGCTGTTAGTACATCCTTTTCTTGCCCAATAAAAATTTTCAAGCTGGCTTTCAGTTTACAATCATCTTTAAAATTTCCTTAAGGTACTCCAGAAAACAGTATTTATTTTAAAAAAATATGTTTATTTGACCCTCTGGTTTTACAATCAGTTGTAGGAAGTTTCATGTAGAAAGTAATGCTACAGTTCTGCTTAGCTTACCTACTCATCCACCTGCTGATATATTCCTACAGGCATTTCTGTTGATGTTTTTATGAGTTCTGCATGTATTTTTTGTCACCATGAGTTAGCAAATATGCTTTCCTTCACAGACTTTCAAAAAAAATAACAATTTAACATCTTAGCACATTCTATAGTCATTCATTACCTCCTGGTTGTTAAATGCATTAAAAAAAAAAAAAAAAAGCTCTGCAAGAGGCACAGTTTAAACCAATTTTGTCCCCTTTGGAGGAAAAAAAGAAAAAAAAATGCTTCTGAAACTTCAATGGATCTGAAGAACTTCAGACATTAATTTTATGTTTCCAAATTGCTGGAAAAGGTTACATTCCTACCATTCCACTCAAGATTCACTCTATTCCTACTATTCAAGATTTCTTATTAGACAATATACATGAATGAATCATGTCTGATAAGATACATCCAGTTACAAAGAATTAAATAACTTAGGTGGAGAACAGCATATAGAAATAAAATGTGTTCCACAATACAAAATTATTAAGGACTGATGACAACTGATGAAAAGATCACAGGCATTTCGAATTTCTGATCTGCTAACACATCTTTCTTTCTTACGTACTGTTTCACTGATTTGGTTCCTGAAATCTATTATTTTTCTTCTTTTGTAGTTCTCTTAGTACCTGCCTCCAGGAAAGAAATTGGCAACAATGCTGGTTGCTATTGACACTGACTTACACTTTCTCAGCAAAACTATTCACTAAGAGGTAGAGGGATGGAGTAACATGAAATATTTCATTTCTGCCATAAGGTTAACTGCTTAAAAAAGGTGCTTCCAGCACCTGTTCTGCCAGCACATCAACATTCAACATAATGGGAATAAGAAATGGGGCATATTACATTGATAAGTCTTTATCTGTATGTCGTTGCATCCAAATCCACAGGAATTCTTACATCATGTATGTGATTCCACAACAATGAAATAATCCATTGTATACATTAGAGAAAGGGACATGAGTTTCTTAACTTTAACCCCAGTCTCTTTCAAAGTGCCACAATACAATTGCACAGCCTAACCATCTTGCTAAGCAGATCTATTTTTAGGCAGCTTCTTTGTTATTGTATCTCAGTGCCTACTTTTTAAACTCAATCTAGTTTCGCTGGTAGCTGAGCTTACAAGTGCTGCCACATGTCTCCTCCAAAGGTAAATATAAATATATGGATGAGTTCTGTAGCAACATAATGATACAGTGTTAAAATACACTGGACAACAAGTCTGGAAGAAAACAAACAAAAACCCCCACATCTGCAGAACAGCTCAGGCGTGACAACTTCAGATAGAAACACACCTGTATGGCAAACTGTGCAAGCTGCGCATCACCTCTGACACGCGTCTCAGCCTTACACAGGGCCAGTCAAAGGCAGCCAGGTACCAACTTGACTCAACGCTCGGGAGAACTGCCCGAGTTTATTAACTCCGCCGTGCGCCCACCGCCGAGTCCCCGCCAAACTACCTGTAACACAGCCCCAGTTTCCCACCCTGCCGCCCCGCTCGCATCCCCACGCCGGCCCTCCGGGCCCCTCCTCGCCCAAAGCGCGGGCGCTGCCTTCGCACCCTGCCCCTCCCTGAGCCCCCACTCCGGGCAGCGGGGGAGCCGCCCCCCCGCCCCCTCCTTCCCTCCCGCCTTCCTCCCCCCTCCTCCGCGGGCCGCCCCCGCCGCCACTCACCAGCTGCGCGCCGCACACGGCCACCAGTGTGCACCGGCCGCTGCAATAGCCCATGGCTCCCGGCACCCCGCGCCGCCGTCCCGCGCCGCGCCCACTCAGGCGGCGGGAGAGCACCGCCCGGCCGCCGCCCGGCTCCCGCCTGCCGCCGGCGCTCCCCAGCCCGGGACCCGCATGGGGGCGCGCCCGCCGCCCGCCCGCCCGCCCTCAGCCGCGGCCGCAGCGCCCGCCGCCTCGGCGGTCGCGGGCAGCGGGGCCGGCCGCCCCCGCGGAGGGCGGCAGCGCCGGGGGGAGGGCGGCGGCAGGTGCCTGCAGGAGCAGCCGCGCTCTGCCGCGCAGCCCCAGAGGCATCTGGGCTTCAAAGTTTGCCCCCTCAACTCCGCTCGCAAACCATCCGGGCTCGCAGCCGTCTGCGGCGGGGGGGAGGCGGGGGGAGGAGGGGAGAAGGGAGGGAGGGACGGACGGACGGGGAGGCGAGGCGAGGCAGGCGGCGGCGCTAAACTCGGTTCACGCTCGCAGAGCGGCTTCCCTCCTGCCCAGGGCATAGCTGCTCCCCCGCCCGCCTTCCTCCTTCTCCTCCTCCTCCTCCCGGCAGGGCTCAGGCAGCCCCAGCTGTGGGAACCCCTCTCCCGGGGGCTCCCCCACGGGAGGGCGCGGAGAGGCGGCGCAGCGGGGGGGGGGCGCCTCCGCTTGGTCTGCGCGGGCGCGGCGAGCGCGGCTGCACCTTCCTGGGCGCCTTTGTCTCGGCGGGACCCCTCTCCGCGCCCACCCTGCGCGGAGCTCCCCCGCACCGCACGGCGCCCTCCGCAGCCCCGCCGCCGCACAGGCACAGCCCCTCCGGCACGGCACGGCCTGGCCCGGCCCGCGGGCAGGGCAGGGCAGGGCAGCGGAGCGGGGCCCGGCCGCGGACGCGGAGCGGAGCCGGCGCGGCCGCAGCCCCGCGGTGGGGCGCGCTGCTGCCGCCTGGCGGGCGGTGGGCGGCGGTGCAGGGGAAGCCGCCCCAGCCGCGCTCCCTCCGCTGTTGCCGGCACCCGGGAGAGCTCCCGGCAGCACCGGGAACACGGCGGGAACACCTGCCGCCGCACCGGTGTCACTCCCACCCTGAGCAGAGCTCACAGGCGGAGGCTGATCTGAAGAGTCTGACCTGGAACACTGGGAGAGGTCCGAGACACAGGCTAGGAGTGTGAGGGCAGGAAAAGAAGGACAAGACTGGTCCTATTTAGAAAAAAAATATTAATTGGTGTCAGGGAACTGGTTCTGCCCACCATAATGATGAGGAAAGTTTGCACTTAGTGACTTGATCCGGCATTCCTCCACTGTTAAAAGCATTCAGAATACATTGTGTTGGTGGTAAATTGTGTGTCAAGATCTGCTGTGTCAATCAGCCTCCAAAGGTTGTTAATTGCTGTGTCATCACCAACCACCTTGACATTGCATTTGAACCAGGTCACTCTTACGGCACTGCCCATAAACAGAAGTAGTTTTATCCGGGATGCCAACAATTATGAACTGGAGGAATGTCACTGGGTTTCCTGAGCACATGTGGATATTTGTTTGCAGCACAAATACCCTGTAAAACTGGAAGCTCTCTGGGAGCTTATAACCCCAAGTAGTTTGCTCTCACTCTATAAGCAAGTTTGTCAAAATTGTTGGCAAATTGTCAGATGAGTAGTTATGACTCCTAAAATTCTTATAATGTATTGGGCCCTTCACAGGCAAGCAAAACATGCACAAAAATGACAGTGTTTGTCCTCTGCTCCAAAAGTACATTCTTCTGATTGTCAGCCTTTATGCTGTCAGACACTGTATGGACCAGTCAGATCTCTGGGGATCAAACACAGTGAACATAATCACTTGAGGATCTAAGGAGGCAACTACTAGGGATAGCCATAGCTGAGGCTTAGAAAGCAGAGCTGTCCAGCAAGTGGCAGAGAATAGTTCAGGTACCTTTGCACTCAGTTTTTCTTGACTTCTTCAGCATATCATGCTTACACTTACAGGATCACAGAACGGGTAGAGTTGGAAGGGACTAGAGTGCGTCATCTGGTCCAACTTCCCTGCTCAAACAGGGTCATCCTATAGCACATGGCAGTGGCAAGAACAGTGTATCTCATTATCTGAGACTGGGAGCTGGGAAGCTAACAGAAAGGGCAGTTTGTACTCTTTTGGACTCTTGTGAGGAAGCAAAGAGTTCTCTCTCTGTGACCATAACTGACCTGGTTGTTCATTCCAGTGGGAGGTTTCCTAAGGAAAATGTGGGCAGTAGTGGAAGAGTCCAAAATTACAATCTCCATGGACTCTCTTAACAGCTTCCCCAAGCTCCCTGATCCTTTTTCTTCTCAACACCTTCTCCTATACTTTTGCACTGTAGTAAGATTCTCAGTTTGTTTGCCTTCTCCTAAGTATGCTTAAAGTAAATGTGTCTGTTTCTGTGCTGTTATCCACTTCCCCCTGGTCTGTGGTTATCTGTCCAAACAAACTTCCTTTCTCCATGTCACTTTTATCTGTTTAATCTCTTTTATCAAGAGGACTCGAAGTGAGCCACAGGATTGAGCTCTCATTGGGTCAAATGCTCAGGTCAGAGCCTTTTTGCGTCCAGTCTAAGCCTGTTCTTGGGGCCCTGCAGCTTCAGCATGCAGCAAAATCAGCTGTGTACACACAGCAATACTGGTTTTTTTGGTTCCTAGTTAGACTTAACAAAAGGCCTGTTATGTGTGCTCAGTGAGTAATTTCCAAACGTTCATAACTTTGTCAAAACAAAACCAATTTTCTTCAAAAGCAGGCTGTGCAGTGCTCTTCACTGAAGGTTATTCCATGCAAAACATTAACTTGCAGGTTACAGCGCTTTCACTAGTTGATTTGTAATCATAAAGAGGTAAAAAACAAACCAAAAAAACCCTCAAACCAAACAAAGCAAAAAAGCCAGATAAAAATAGGTTTCCCTGCTTCCCTCCAGTCTTCTCAATCAAGTGTAATTTTATTCCTATTTCTATAACTCATTTCTGGGAGGAGATCAGTTCCAAAATCTGTGACTGTCACTAATGACTGGAAACCGGAGGCTACAGATTCATTTTACACTTCCAGTTATAGGAGCTCATTGCTGGTGCCTGTACACCCAGGATGTGTGTACAGGTGTTCCTCTCTCTTTGGAGACAAGAGGGGAACACGCTTTTTGGCAGCATAATGGTGAAATGCTCACTCCTCTGGAGTGCCTTCCCTGTGATTTGACAGGACTTACGAACTGATTTTAAGCCTAACCCCAGCCTGCTCCTTCCCTGAGCCTGGGGGAGCACCTGGGCAAAAGGGCAGCCCAAGGAGGGCTGCAGCTGCCAGCCTTCTGCCTCAAACCAGCAGTCACAGAGGAGAACACGGACCTGGGAGAACAAGCCACAGGCCAAACAGAGCAGCAGGAAGGGCCACCTGTGGCTTATAGACTGTAACTTCTGTATCGCTTTCCTTTAATAAGCCTTTCATGTGAAATTTGTTTAGCCAGCAGTGTGGGTTCAGTGGCACATCATCCCAAGCATTCCAGCCATGTAGGAGCTTTCTGCCATCAGCACCACCTGCCCAGGCTGTGCCAGGTGCCAGTAAATCAGCATGGGCTCTTACCTGCTGCATTCATTCATTACCTACTGCCTCCATTCTTGTATCAAGCCAGTCTGAAAATGCTTTGTAATTGATAATATTGTCATCAATAGTAAAGGGAAAATATTGTTTCAATTCAACCAACACCTTGTTAACAGAACAGACGTTGCTGAGTGACGTGCATGTTGACTTTCTGGGGAAAGAATCAATTAGGGGGGAAAAATAAGTGATTAAAACATAATACAGAATTATTGCAGGCTTAAGCACACTGCAATAAAAATTCTATTCAAACCTCTAAGACTGTAGCAGTATTAAACGTTTTTTTTGAACATCATCTCTACCATAAAGATTGAGTGTCAGGTACTTTTTTTACCTCCTGCAGGATTTCAAGACTTGATTGCCCAAATGACAGTTTACTTATTTTACTGTCACATACTTTTGTGAAATGCCATAACAAGTTGATTACAGGTTTCACATTTTGCATAGTGACAAAATCATCTGTCATATAATAGTCTGATGCCTGAAAAACCATTTAACTAAGAAGCAGTTGCTACTGAAAATAATGATATTTGAAACATTAAGTGGATTTAAATGTGTACATTTTCTAAGTAAGTCTTTGTTTTAACTGAATGAGAAGAGCAGTGTTATCCCTTTCAGGCATGAATTTAAGACTTGTAAAAGTCACCAGACAACAACTAGCTAGAGGGTGAGATAAATTAGGAGGGACATCATTTCATGAATGAAATGAAAAATAGAAATTGAAAGCCTAGTGATACATCATAGCTTCTACAAAGATGAGAAAGTCCCTGGCTCCTGTTTCCAAAACCTGTTATTCCTACCAACCTGTGCTGGAGATCTGAGGCCATGTCATGCTCTCTGACTGCTGGAAACAGAAACAGTCTCCCTTTCCCTTATGGTGGGAAATATTGGGTCTCTGGAATTGGTGTGAAGAAAATAATAAGATTTTACTTTCTTATGCAACAATATGCATACCTTAGATGAGATATAAGTAACAACAGTAATAAGGATAATCCATTCATTTAATGTATTCAGTTTCTTGACTGATTCTAAGTGACTAGATTTTGGAAATAATGTGATGTGTCATTTCTACTTAGCAATGCTAACCAGTAAGAGAATTTTCTGGGCATTTTATTTCTGGTAATGAGTAGATGGAGTAATGGTAGTAGCAATCTCCCTTCTCATGTGCAGGCAAAGGACATGCCAGTTTTCAAAATGAGAAGGGAATGGGATGGGGAAGCTCAGCAAGCTGTTAGATTGAAGAAGAGAATGATGTGTCCCTGGCACTCTGTCATATACTGACTTTGGAGACAATGCAGCCATCACATACCTGCCATTATAAAGGCTGGTAGAAAATCACAGTGAATTATACATGAGGATGAATGCTGAACCTCTCTGGAGGGGTGCTGCACCCAGGTGCTCAGCTGACCTCCTGCAGTGGGCTGCAGCACAGGGTAAGGCCGGGGATCAGCAGAGTACTGTCCAAGGGTGTGTGACCTTCCTGGGCCACCAAATGCAGCGCTCCACAAGTGGCAA